ATGATCTGCTTAACAATAGCGGAATGATGGCCATTTTAAGGCCGAAAATGCATCAAAATCACGTATTTTCACAATTCCAGAACCGGATCTCAGTCATGCATGGATGGATTTTGTTCAGATTTAGCACAATGTGTTGTACATATGCAGGTGCATTTCGGTCATGATCTGCTTTGAATGTATATGTCACTCAAATATGAACGGAACGGGGACGTGTCATTGACAATGACTTGTTACTTTCTATTTTTATTCGCATTTGCAGCGTTGCTGAAAGACGTGGGATATGGAATCATCTACTGGGTGAAACACAGCTGAGTGCATCCAGTAAAGGCTTTGATAGTATTTTCCTAATAAGCAATGGGAAATTAACAAGTTATGGCCCACATGGACAATTCCATTGGCAGGTGAGTGCATCTAGAAAAGGCTATGATACGTTTACCTAATAATTAAGCAGTGGGAAAGTTATCAACTACTTGGATAGTTTAACAATGCCATAACGATAATAATCCTTTCGCAAGCTTAAAGCGAGAGAGTCATCACCTGCGCACACATGGAAATTATGTCCCAAGCGATGATAACAACACACGCTAAAAACACAAAGGCTCATGGGTAGACAATTGTTTGTAAACAATGACACGCTATGGCCATCTGACGCATGCGCAGGTGACGATTCCCCTGCTTTAAGAATTAACACCATTATTGGCACATGATGAAAACCTGTGTGAACGTGACTCCTGATGGTGTATCCGGTACAGTTACATATTTATCCCAGGAAGGAACTTGTTTGCAATTCTAATGAGATATCTACATATCAATATGTGTACGTTGCATGTCCTTTGAAATTGACTGCTTGGTTAAATTTTGTCTCTACTTCAAGGTTGCAACACCGGCAAAGTGGTCTGATGCCAGTAGTCTTGTCAGAAGAGCAGGTCTCCTGAACCGTGAATTTACAGAGAAATATCGAAATACATTTCAACCAAGCATGCAGGTTATGGCACTTCAAGTATATGGAAAGGAGGTATATGTACTATGAACTTTCAACTTTGACCCCCTCACTTGTATATATCTTCTGGGTGTTCATTAATTAGTGGTCCAAACCTATGTGGGCCTGTTATCATTCTGATTTAATCTGCTTTTTTATGAGCTAGTTTGAGAAAAACACTGAACAGAATGTCTCCAATTTTGCATGCATATTGGCGCCAATGTGAATTGGCGCACCTGAGGTCTCAGACATCTGAAATGTTTATTGTAGCATCACTGACATTTGTGATACACACCACGATTAACAGACACAGTTACATACTGAAGTGTTTATATATTCAAAATAGGTATTACTTAATGATTTAGTACACAAAATGTGATTGCGCTTCTAACATTTTCACATTATAATTAATTTTACAACAAATGGCCTCATTTTTTTTTACTTGAGTTTCTTACTGGATTACTATATACATTTGTACATGTGCATGTGTATATTCATCCCCTTTGGGGAGAAAGATATTATTCAAAACTATCAACAACAAAAAACTCACTTTTAATAATCACATGCTGTAGATTTTAATTTTTTTTTTCAAATTCGTTTTATAAATAAGAAATTAGATAATTATTTCATGGACAGCAGAAGTGCATATAATATTTTCTAAATCAAATGAGACAATTATTGGTCAAACTTTTCATTGACCTGAAGTGCTCAGCCACCTGGTAATGGACTGATAACTATTTGAAGGGCGATAGTGGTCATGCCACGCATGCGCGAGATATATGGGTCTCATATAAACAAAGATGGCAACTTTGACTGTTAGGAAGATCAACGAGTACAAACTGAGACGTTTCCAAGCTTTAATTAGGTAATTTTTAGGTGAAGGTATCGAAAGAATCAACGGCGGCAATTAGTGCAAGTTGCGTCCAGGTCAAACCTCATATTTGTGATTTCCATTAGAAGAGCGCATTGGATTGTGGGAAAATCAATGTTTATCAATACAAATATCGCATATGCGCAACACGACAACCACCGCCCTTTAAGATTGGTAAAAATTAACTTCTGGTTTTGGTTATCTCAATAAAATGATTTATAATTCATTTTAGCTTATTTTTAGAATAAAACATTTCTTTATGCCTAAAACCTTTGATTTCATTTCTGTATGTAAAAACTTACTATTATTTTTCAAATTTTTCCCTCCTTAGAATATAGTTGTACTAGCAGGCTGGGACTCCATGGTGCTGGTATCTCTCAAAGATGGTAGAATATTAGCTGAACATACATTGCCATGCCAACCGTCCTCCTCTATTGTAATTGGTGATTTCACCAATGATGGCTGGACTGATTTCATTGTACACTGCCCTACCAGGTAAAGATATTGTAGTCTTTGTTACTATAGTAACAGTACACACCATTGTATTATACCATGGAAACGGATGTTTCCTATCTTTGAAATTTTGGCGATCCGCTCTGCTAGGATTGCCCTTAAAATTATTTTTTTTGTGTGTGTGATTTTATATGTCTTCATGTATTAATTCCTCTGTCATTTTTTAACAACATTGTCACCTTCAAACTGCATCTGTTCAATTTGTAGCTGCTACCTATATGCTATGCATCATATAGCATTGGTTTGTGCTTTGAGCACTTCGTACACGAGTAGTTAACGCTCCTAGTAGTGGCAAGAAATGTGAGAAATATATTCTTATCACTTTATTTTTTTTCTTCAGTTACCTGGGTTTTTCACTGAACAGAACATCGGGATACCTATCAACAGCATTGATTGGTGCTGCCATTATTGTAGTTTTCACAGCTCTTACGTCCATGTTTAGTATTGATGAAAATGAAGATGAGGACAATCGTAACCAGATCCATGATCAAGATAGCTGACACGCATTACAATTAGACGCCATTGTCCAAAAGATTTACTACTCAGAGTATTTATTTCTGCAAATTTTAATAGTAACCTTAGTAATGTATGTTGGTATTGTGGTTTTCTATCTCTATATTGTTTATCATAAATGATTGGATGATACCAAATTGCAAGAAGGGATGCATTAAAAGCAAATGGGGTGGGGTGGTTTATTGTTTGTTACAGTCTAGGCTTCAAAACTTGACTGAATTTCAGTTTTATTGCAGAGCTTTCTTTTGTATGGATGATTCTGATTAGTTTCAGAGAGCTCTAGTGATTTAACAAAGTTCTTTTTTTTTCTGTACTCCCTGGTTTCTTTATTTGTTGTTGCACATGTGCTAAGGGTTACCTCGAATGCAATCTGGGGCTGGTGAGCAGTGTCTTATTTTATTGCGCCCTATATATCCGATGGAAATTCAAAATGGTTGTGGCATGTTACTGACATTTATAACCTTAAATCAAAGAACTAATCCAGCAGTTACTTGGCTGGAAAACATAGAAAAGTAACACGGATGACTCGTAACACTGTTGTTAAAAACATGACCCAAGACATGGCATGTCAAAATAACAATAACATTGGTAATTTTCTTGGTTTACATAAAAATATTGGTGTGTTGTCATTTTATTAGCTGGGCCTTTAATTTGAAAGGAGATCAATCCATCGATCATACCCTGGCCGAATTGTATCATGAACCGGTGTGCATGCATGCAATTATAAATCCAGTTCACACACTCTACGCTACTCATTCATCTCCACAAAATACAGGACACTATTTCAATCTGAATTATATTCCTTTTAATATGATTTTTCTTCAATACTAAAGATTCAATAAAATTTACTATTTGTTGGATACAGCCTTTGAATATACAATAAAGTGTGCATTTTCCCCCTTCCATTAAATTAAGTGTAATGAACTTATAATACATCATCCACTGCTACAAACATTTCAAATCCTGGTTACTTTCCAGAGATAACATTATAAAAGTTTGTTTAATGCACTTGTACCATCATAATACCTCCAACTTAACCCTGTCATGATGGCAAGTACCAGCATGTGTGAACTTATGAAGAATCATGCAACTGACCAAAAAGAGAACCATAGTCTCCAAACTCGCATTAAATAACGTCTTAAATATTTGCTAATCTAATCAATTTCATTACTTAATTTCCATTCAAAAGTAAAAAGCAGGAAAGTAAATTTGCACCAATGGTTTGACAGTTGAAGTGGTTAAATATAGTCGTCTGATTATCCAACATTTATCCCCGAATATTACCAAGCATATTATGATTTCTATACTTCATATAGTATAGTACACCGTAGCTTGGGGGTGCTCGAAACCGTGACAAAAATGTCGCCTTTCGTAAGCAGACATTTGAGAATTGAATATGCATGCATCTTGCAATGAATGAATACATGTTTTCCATACTGTATGAAAAGATTGTAAACTTTTAAAAGTAATCATGATGCCTACCAATACAAAGCTAACATGTTTGGAATAGAAAAACTCGTCTGATTTCAGGATTAATTTATAGGACAGCACGGGTAGTAAATATACATCTAATTGTACCAGCAGCAACAATAAATAACCACAAAGTAAATTAAGGAAATACCATATGCCAAGGGGTAGTCAAACCACAAATACCTCATCTCCAGGGATGAGCTAAAGTTGTTTGGATGTCTTAATTACATCAAACAAGAAACTCACTATTCAAAGCTGGAAATAAGATAACATATAAAAAGGTGTTTTAACACGTGTCTGAAACAAATGCTCATACGCCAGTATTCGCAAACTATATTTAATGACATCTTGTTTCATAATCTTTGTAATGAGAACATGACTGTGCGTTCACATGGAAGCCCGTGGGATGTACACATTTAAAAAAAAAAAAAAAAGTTGCAACAGAAGTAATCCATAACCTGTGTTACATTCACTGTTTTATTAGCTGAAAAGTGGAAAAACTGAGAAACATGCTGCATCAACCCATTCTACAGAGAAGCTTCCTGGTCATAAATGTATGCTAGAAAATCAACACTGATTTAACACATGCTGTCTTTATCGTATAGGACCTATTTTGAACACTGCACGGCGGAACGATATTTGAACACTGCACGGCGGAACGATATTTGAACAATATCTAGCTATGGTGGCATCTGTGTTTAATATAATACTTTAGGAATGAAATAACAGTGAGAGAAGCTGGGCCATACTTATAAAGCGACAAATTCATACATCTTTGGTATTTCACAAAAATGACTATATACATCCTCAGCAACTTTTATTTTATTTACATACTTCAAAATATTATATTATAATGTTACGTTGATGTATCATTAACAGTGACAAGATATGGTCCACTTTGCCGTTGTCTAATTGACTGCACTGCTCCAGTTGTCGTCATCGCATCTTTAGCATCAACAGAATCCTGGCTATTCCGCCTCTTGTTCCTAACCCCTGTAGGAAATTCAGGTTTTAGAATGCACACACTGATTCGGCCAAGATTATACAGTCCCGGTTTGCTGAAGCATGCTCGCAACTGCACAGTTCGGCTCTGACTAGAAGCAATGCTCATCTGGACTGAATTCTGTCCAACCCAAGTATAGTATGCCGAGTTATTGGCAACATTCGATGGGTAATATGTAGAAGGGTCTGTATCATCAACTTCAGCTCTATAACCACTGAAGAAAATAAAAAAAGTAAACGATTACTGAATGCAGAAAATATAATATTTAAATGGGCATGGTCGGCAAGTTTAGGTTTTTTAGCAATCCACTCTTCAGTGTGCTTCCCAGTGTGCTTGAACTTTCAGAAACAATAGAGATTATTGATATTGTTACAAAATACATATATTGCAAATAAGCGATTTTTTGATAACTGCTTTTGCTTCAAAAATTGATCATTTGATTTTGAACTTGAATTTTTTTTTTATAATTCAATGTTGAAATTCTGATTTATTGACAACACTATAACGCTTTGTTTATCCTGTGTTTTTGTTTGATTTCACGCATATCATTAATGCAAGATCATGCAATTAATGGAAAATGGTCCATTCATCAAAGGGAAGACCACTCTGATGACTGCAAAACTTGGTGAAAATCTTTCTAAATATCCTATTAACATGTTTGCACTCACCTGTCATATAGATTACCGTTCACTGTGTTTATGATCACTTGTAAATTGGACTGGCTACAATTATGTAAATGAAGCTGTACTGTAAACAAACAAAGCCTAAAACAAACAAGCAAAAACAAGTCATTGACATGAAGCTGTCCCGACGTGCAATAGTAAACAAAATTGAAACCAGTCAGCCATTTGAACCAATGTACAATTTAATTTTAACAGGTGTCAGGATGTCCTCTAAGTTTTAAAATAGCCACCATTCGGCCATCTTCAATTTGAACATAAAACAAATACACGTGCATTTAACGGTTTTAAAGAAGACGACAAAAATGTAAAAAGTTGACTACAGATGCTGGACAATCAGTAATATGAAGACCTGGGGTATGAAGAGCTCCGCGTCGTCGACAATGACGCTAAAAATGCACAATTATGTTGAATTGATTCAGGATTAACGGAAATGCTCAATTATAATAATTTGTTAGCACTGAAATGGGCTTTGTATTCCAAAATGGATGACGTACGTGTCAAAATATTGACATGGCTTCTAACAGCATTCATTAAAACAAGGTGGTTGTCATTAAACCTGATCTACAAAACAAAGTAACGTGTAGCAAGATCTCATAATATCCAATCTATGCCTAAACGATCTGTCCAAAAATGACCAAGATCTGGTTAAAATTTAAAACATTTTTAACACTACAGTGGAAACCATGAATTTAGAACAGAAGATCAGGAATAGCAGGATTTACATTATGCTACTGAATAAGACAATACGAGATGACACAAAATAAAGATAACCAATTGTACCTTGATCTGCTAAAGTCATGTTGTATAATCTCATTATACTCCATAGTATACTGGACAAGTTGTGACAGCAATTCATCACTTGTGTCATCATCTTTGGGAATTTCAATCTGTTTGATGAACTTGATTGGTGGCTGTAAATCCATTGTCTGAAAAAAGAAATGAAAGTATGGAAATGAGCTTCCACATGGAGCTTCGAAAGTTCAAGTGTAAAGACACTACCTTAAAAAACATTTTTCAGGGCTCTGAGTGCCCACAAACCTGCATCTTTCATTAAACCTTACAAATATTCATTCAAAAAGATGCATAACAAGGACAAAGATCGTTTTGTCGTGAGCATATGCTTGCTTAACACAGGATGTTGAAAGACACCAGTAGGAATTCTTACTTTGGAGACTGGCTGTGATGACTCTTGTTGGTCAAGTACAGATATTGGTACATGGTGCTGTCCTGTGATAACCTGACAGCTGCCATCATCTGTCACAACAAAGGCCTGTAATTACAGAGAATGATGTCATGATGGTAAAGATAATTTGGATTCCTACATTTATTTGTAGTTATAACAAGTGACTGTAACCCAGAAATTCATTTCACAATAAAAAATTCCAATCACCTCAATCCAAAATTCTGTTTTCCACACTTACAATTCATCTATACTCTTACATCGGAACTCATTTCTCACAAAATTCCAGATAAATATCATGTTTCATTTATTCATTGTATTACTGGACTGATGAATTATCATGCAAATTAGGTAGTTAATATGCAAAGATTTCCACAGTCAAGTCTGTGCATTACACTAATACATTTTGGATTATCCCAGAGCACTTACATGTTTGTAAGTACCAAGTCTCTTTAATTAATATCTGATGATTATTGAGATATCAGAATATTGTCTAAGTTATGCAATAATAGGACAATAATATGCGAGAATTTTAAAACTCAAATAACCAAGCATGTAGACTATCTGAAAGCAATTGTGTACAAAAATTTGTTTGCAATCTGATGAGCGGTACTCTAAATGCAGTATCTGTAGAACAGCTTTAAAATGACTAATTTATGCAAATTAGGTAACTTATTATCCCAGAGCATCTGAGTAATTTTCAGATATCAATGGAACAGATACACACAAACAGACTGTCATTTTGTGCTTTGCACACTAGAATAAAAAATAATATAAACTTCATTCATGTGGTGTTTTATCTTCAAATGCCATAACATCTAGCACAACATGTGATTCATTTGCATGAAACAAAAGTAGAACTTTATCAACTGATAATATACAGCAATAATATCACAAAATGACCAAATATGGACAACCATGATTTAGTCAAACTCTGATTCATACAATGACTGTGAGCTCACCTTCCATAATACAATCACTGTGAGCCCAACATCAACAGCTGACTGCAACTTTGATTTCATATCTTCTATGGAGCCAACCGTATCAGTGTCAGTATCTGGTGTCAGGATATCTTTAGGGGTACTACTCGTGCTTTTCACATTGAGTAATAGTGACAATACTGATGGGGACATCCCCTTAGACCAGAAATAGAAATCTGAACACGGTGTCATAGAACTGTTGATCTTCAGAACAAACACAACATAGAGTATATTAATTCATAGTACATACCAGACAAAAATATTAAATAATTATGAATATTATCATTCATCTAATACTGTATATTATTATTTTCAAAATCATAAACAACATACGATTCTTTGAGCTGAGTATCCTGGGTCAGACGAGTTGGTAATTTAACACTCAGTATCTACACTATTCAGTCACGACAAATGTAAAAGTCTTGTAAAACAAAATAGATTTATTTAAATCTATGTTGAATTTATAAAATAAGGTTCATGTATTAACCTGAATTCGCAGTTTCTAGTCATTTACTATTTTTATCACTACACATTGCAATATTAGCATATATACATGGTTTTTATTAGAGTTAGAGTAGAGTTAAATTTGTTTTGTGAGGGGAATGGGAGTCACATTACCTGTGCACTGTTATTAAACATCACGTTTGTAAAAACAACTTCTTCGCCAAAGCCTCCTGCGTTAAAGAACAGTTGAAAATTAAATTAAAATTAAACAAATTAAGAATGACATGCACACTGACATACTATTACTGTGGATACTCAAGATCAATCAATGAATCATATTAATTTAAATCTCGTACTCACTGTCAATTCAATCTCAACAAATTGCGACATTTACAACCTGAATGTTCCCATTCACTCAGTTATGTGTGGTTAAAACCAACACTAACATGACTTGCATTCCATTTTCCATACCAATTAAAATGGAAAATGCATGTCAAACTCACCCTGAATGTTTCGCTGACATTTCTTCTATTCACCGTCAATTCAATCTCAACACATTGCGACATTTACAACCTGAATGTTTATATTCATTCACTCAGTCATGTGTGCTCATTCCATCACTAACATGACTTGCATTCATTTTTCCACACTAATTAAAATGGAAAATGCATGTCAAACTCACCCTGAATGTTTCGCTGACATTTCTTCTATTCACCGTCAATTCAATCTCAACACATTGCGACATTTACAACCTGAATGTTCCCATTCACTCAGTCATGTGTAGTTAAAACCAACACTAACATGACTTGCATTCCGTTTTTCTATACCAATTAAAATGGAAAATGCATGTCAAACTCACCCTGAATGTTTCGCTGACATTTCTTCTATTCACAGTCAATTCAATCTCAACAAATTGCGACATTTACAACCTGAATGTTTATATTCATTCACTCAGTCATGTGTGCTCATTCCATCACTAACATGACTTGCATTCATTTTTCCATACTAATTAAAATGGAAAATGCATGTTAAACTCACCCTGAATGTTTCGCTGACATTTCTTCTATTCACCGTCAATTCAATCTCAACACATTGCGACATTTACAACCTGAATGTTCCCATTCACTCAGTCATGTGTAGTTAAAACCAACACTAACATGACTTGCATTCCGTTTTCCATACCAATTAAAATGGGAAATGCATGTCAAACTCACCCTGAATGTTTCGCTGACATTTCTTCTATTCACCGTCAATTCAATCTCAACACATTGCAACATTTACAACCTGAATGTTTATATTCATTCACTCAGTCATGTGTGCTCATTCCATCACTAACATGACTTGCATTCATTTTTCCATACTAATTAAAATGGAAAATGCATGTCAAACTCACCCTGAATGTTTCGCTAACATTTCTTCTATTCACCGTCAATTCAATCTTAACACATTGCGACATTTACAACCTGAATGTTTATAATCATTCACTCAGTCACGTGTGCTCATTCCATCACTAACATGACTTGCATTCATTTTTCCATACTAATTAAAATGGAAAATGCATGTCAATCTCAACACATTGCGACATTTACAACCTGAATGTTTATATTCATTCACTCAGTCATGTGTGCTCATTCCATCACTAACATGA